ACGGTGGCGAAGTCGGGTTCGGGCTCAGGGTCGAAGGAAAGAGATGAGGAGAGGGTTAAGGATTTGGAGGTTGAGTAGTCGAAGGTGCTGTCATAGAGGGAGTTGTAGTTCTTTAAGTTGGCTGATGATGCGGTGGTGGTGGCGGAGGACGTTAATAGACGGCGGCTATCATCGGGGGTTAGCAGCTGCGACGAGGAAGGTTGGGAGGCTAAAGGGAATCTGATCTTCTTGAAGCAGAGGTTGAGGTTTTTGCCCAGACCGTTTGGCATGATTTTGGCCCCAAAAAAGCACAAGGAAAATGAAGTGCGAGCTTATTAATTCTGTTTATTTCTGTGTGGTGTTTGGTTAGAAAGAAAGTGAGATGAGAATGGAAGGGGAAGGCTGAATTAATATATTTTGTGAATATTGGGGGAAGAGAAGACAGAGATGATGGCGAAGTTTTTGATAATCCATCATTTAAATTCAACGACCATTTCTTCAGTACTATCTTACCAGGTATCATTCACCAGTACTATCATTTTATATACCAAGTATCAACAAGGAATATTACATTTTCAACAAAATTAATTTAGAATTTAAATTTAAATATTATGTAAAAGACGGCCACAACCCTAAACACAAATTATAAACAATCTTTTATTTGTATATTTTTTAAAATCTTCTCTATTTAAAATATTATAATATTATATATATTTTTAATAAACTATTTGATATTTATATTTTTTATTTTTGATAAATTTTCTACTTTTTAACAATTTTTTATTTATATTTATAAAAAAATTATATATTCGGTAATTAGATTTTTCACTTTTTATAAGTATATTATTTGTGCTTTTCCAAACGATTTTAGAATCTATAACATTAAGTACTTATATTTATCAAACATACATAAAATTGTTCATATTAAATAACTAAAAAAAAAAAAATTAATTTCAAATTAATTTTTTTACAATATATCAATTTTTTTTTAAAAAAACACATGTACCATGTTTGTAAACTAACAATATTTCAAAAAAAAAAGTAAACTAACAAATTCAGATACTAAATATTTATTGTTTACCAAATATAAGTACTAAATTGATTCAAAAAAGAATCTCACAATTGCAAAAGGTGACAAATTCAAATACGAAATAGTATTAAAAAGATAATATGAGATCACAACATATGATGTTTATCAACAAAATTTAAATATAAAATGGTATTAAATAGACATTAAATTACTCGATCCGACACATATTAGAGTTACAGAGTTATGTAAAATTATTGCTATACATGGTGGAATTATACATAAATGCAGATGATGAAAAGTGGTTTAGGAAGCTAATTTTGAGGGGTGTGAGATGAAATGGTTACGCAATGCGATAGAAAGAAAGGGAGAGGTCAGTTCGGTAGGTTGCAATATGGTCCAAACACTGTTAAAACGACCAAAGGTAGCAAGCAGCACATGGTGGTGGGAGCCCCTAGGTCGACCAATCCATCACATCTTGCTTCCAAAGGACCCGCAACCACCGGTTCAGGCAGCGACGCTCTTCATTATCCACTTCCACTCCACCGTGCTTCTATACTACAAACCCTGAAGCCGTGAAAATAAGCAACTGTTGCTTTAGTTTTCATACAAGGACGTTGCAACAGGGTGACCACTGCCACATTACAAAATCTAAAGCCGAGCACGAGAAATCTACGTCAATTGGAGCATGAAACGTAAAATATATATAACCGGCCGACTCCAACATCTGTTTCTTACTGTTCATACTATCCAACTAATTACTGCTCATTACAACAATATTGGGATCTTATGTTGAAGCTCATATGCATGAAAATCGTTGTTAATTTGATAGGAGAGCTGTGAATTCAATCATACTAAAACTCTTCTGGCAAAGACACAGATATCTCAGTTTGCTCTTATAATATCACGCAATCAGAGCAATGCCATTATTAACTTTGTTGTCCAATAAATAATACCAACAAGTTTCAAACCAACGTCCGCACGTGATCACTGATCACATGGCAACTAAGAGTATTATTGTACTGTCAATTTTTCGGATTGAAATGAATAAAAATGGAGTTACGATCTGTAATATAAATCATATGTAAAAACAGGAAGGCCACAAGATGACTAATCATTGACCTATAAATATTTATAAAAAAGAGCCTTATTTCTCATGTCTGTGATACAGTTGTCAGGTAAGAGGGGAAGAAGATTATGTGGGAGAGTGGGACTTGAGAAGGAGAGCATCATCATGAGGTTTCAGATCTTAGAAATGAGCTGTAGGGAATTGTCCTGGTTTGGGATCTCTCTCTTCCCCATAAGCCAGGCAAACGTGCTTTGTGAAACTTCCTTCCTAGCCTCTTCTGTGCTGCAACCAGGCAGGCTCTGCAATATTATGGGATATACTATTATTTAGTCACTAATATCAATAGTCTTTAAGATTTGTATAATTTTCTTCTTATCAATTTGCAATATTATACATTTCCTTTTTTTAATAAATTTGCCCGTTTATTAAAACAACCATCACCAACATAACCTTTTTTGTTGGGAGCTGTTTTGATTCCCAATGAGAGATTTCATGCAATAAAGTTGCAATTTGGGGAAGATTAATACTAGAAAGGGTACGTACCTAGGGATGACAACTTAATCCGAACTCGATGGGTTCCGACCGATCCGATCGGATCGGATTTTTTTTAAAAAAATCGGATTTGAGTCGGGTTTAGGGTGGAAAAAATCTGACTCGACCCGAAAATATATATAATTTTACTCTATATATTTAGGGATAATTACAATAATACCCCTCTATATGTAATTTTTTTTCAATTAAGTTACTATTTTTATTGAATAATAATTTTTTTTTATTTCGGGTCGATCGGGTCGGGTGAAACCTTAATTTCGTCAGGTCGGGTCGGGTCACGGGTGGATGGCCCTTTCTTCTCGGGTCGGGTCGGGTGACCCAAAAAGCCGACCCGACCCATTGTCATCCCTATACGTACCAACGTTGAGAAAAAAAATTATTGTCTTTTTAGAGGATTTATGTTCGAGTTGTCGGGTTTATAGAATGTATATACATTGTCAATGATTAAGAAAACTTCTAAGTAAATATGATTTTATAATCGCTCCAAATTATTGAAGAACCAATTATATGTTTTAACATATCTCCAACGGGAAACTCATCGGACTATAAGCCCTACCAATTGAATGGATAAACATGGCAGCTTCTATTTGTGTTTGCATTTTCGTTGTGAAGTCGTTTTCTTGGGCCAACCCAATTCAGATTCCTTTTACAAAACTTCATTGGTCCAATTGCAAATTTGTGCACTCGTAGCCCGTGACCCCGTCACGTTTCTATTGAATAATGATATATTTTACCATTAAAAATATCAAACTATTAAAACTTAATAAATTATATTTATATTTTTATAATAATACAAATTTGTTTCATCTTAATCAATCAAGACTGTACAACAAAAAATGAGATCCACACCAATAATAAAACTCGAACCTTGAAATATCTTAACATTCCAACAGCTCCTGGTTACAATTTACAACATGTCCATTACGACCCTTGCCTTGCTGCAAATTTCGAAGACAAAACCTGGAAGGAAGGTATAATATGCAGGCATTCCGGCGGAATCATCTTAATCGTGCATGTTCACCTTAGCGGCTTTTGTCATCGTATCCGCCACTCCACCCTTGACTCCTCGCTCTAAGCTCTGCAACTTTCACCGCTACAGCATCTTCGCTTGTCACAGCTTTATCCTGAGGCAACTTTGAAAGAGCATCCTATTGCAATGAAAAACAATTCCCCAGATTTGTCAATTCCTTTTTTAAACCTAAATAAGTAATCTTATACGTGCATGGTGTCTTAATATTTACCAATAATACATCTGACATGTTAATCTTATTGACGTTCTGCGCTGCATCGGCATTGAAACTGGCGGCGGCTTGGGCTGTGCCGCCCAACCCAGCACCTTGCATTTCGTCGCCTGGTGAAGAAAATTTTAATATTATCTAAAATCATACAATATGTTTACAATATTATTTTTAAAAAATATATTTTGAAGAAAAATTGTTGATGAAAATATAAGAGTCAATTAATAAATAAAATTTTTCAAAGAACATCACGATAAATTAAATAAATTTTTTAAAAAATATGTTGTCAGAAAGACCACTTGAAGTCATGTAGAGCGGATAATTCAAATATCTCAAAATAAAAGAACAATTTCAAATCAAAATGAATTTTGTTCAACAAAATTTAAGATCATAAATTACTTTATTTATTTCAAAAAAATCATCTAACCAGAAACCGATAAAATGATTAAGTGTTCATCATATTTTGATATCTTACCCAACCAGCAGAGTTGCAGTACTTGACTATATAATAATTATTAAAAGCTCACTTATATATTTTTCTAAATTAATACTAAAATGTTTGATACTGTCAATTTCAGGTACTAAACTAAAACATAATATAAACTAAAATATAATTTAAATTTAAATCGGGAAATTGAATTTAAATATAAGTTTTTTTAACTAAAGAAAAATGATAAATATATATTTAATCTTGATGCATAACGTAACCTCTCATCGATCCTTGGGGGAAACATATAATTATGTACGGATAGTATTTTTTTCCCTTAAAAAGAAAAGAAGAGGGTGACGCCTGGAGCGCAAAGAACCCCCAAAATCAGGGTCTTGCTGGTAGTTTCTAAAGTTGTAAGAGAAGAATGTGAGATGATTTAGAGATCCGATTTTTAAAATAAGTTTCAGAATATCATCGTTAGGTCCTTAAATAGGGCCAAAGTTTTAGTAACTTGAACAATTAGGCAACGGATTTTGAGTTCCTCGGCAGGGAGTTGGGGTATATTATTGAACAATATACATGGAATTGCAATTCAATCGAATTGATGTTTCCTTTCGTTACAACTTCATCTATTTACTGCGGTAATTTTATTAATTGGCCCTTTTTTATTTGTAAATGGCCAGCCTGAATGTACACCACGGATCATCCATCATGCAACAAAGCAGTAAGATGTACCATAAAACTGTTCCACTACATACAAATATAAAACCAAACATTTCGCTACCAAAAAAACCCTTCATGGCTTATCATCCTGATTTACCCTGGCAGCTGTGGCCAAAGTATCCGCCACTCCTCCAGGCGTCGGCATTGACTCAGGTTTGTCACTCACCTCCGCACCTCTCACGCCATCAGCATCTTCACTTGTCACTGCTTTATCTCGAGGCAGCTTTGCAGTAGCGTCCTGTCCCCCAAAAAAAAGGACGAATTAATTGGGAGTTACTTTGTCTGCAATCTAATCGGTTAAGACTTAAGCGATCAAAAGTGTTAAATGACTTATTACCGACAAAACGTCCGATATAGTGATCTTATTGTAATCATAAGCCTCACGGTCATTGAAATTGACAGCAGCTTGAGCTTTGGACCCGAGGCCGGCTACGCTACTACCCGCGGCTCTCGCCTCAGCTGCTCGTATCGCTGCTACGTCGCCTCGGTCAACCGGTTTGTCGCCCACGGAGATAGCGGCTGCTTCCAAAGCTTCCCCAATGGAGATGCCACTAGAATCAACCGCACCCGTTACAGTGTCCGGTCGCACATTTCCAGCAGTTGGAGTTGGAGATGGGGAAAGGGTTGAAGGCGCAGCACCGATGACATCGAAGACATCGCCGAAGTCGATACCTTCCTGGTCAGAAGCCTGGAGTCTTCTCGGTTGTCGCTGGCTCATTTTTTATATTGGGTAATTGGTGAGAAGAGGGTTCCGGAGAAGCATTATACGGCATATAAATGCGTAATGTACACGTAACTAAGTTTGCACGTTTCAGCTTGGAAAAGAGACATTTGGAGCATAGGTGAATGGGTTTGTGGACTTTCCGGGGTAATTTGTAGCCTCCAAATACTAGCAACATCGACATATGGCAATGGATAAGGATTGGGTTTAAGTTGAAGTTGATCCTGGTCGGTCATTTCTCGTATACTTGTCTGGATGACAGATAAACAATTGCAAAGTTCAAGGAAGTCGACAAAAACAAATCAATTTCTTCCAAAGGCCGGTGCGTAGCAAATTCGAACGTTTTGTGGGGTCAGTATTTGGATCAATATGGGCTTTTCTTGGCCCAATATGCCTAGGCTTTGAATGTATTTATGTGTAGTTACGTGTTTTAACAGATATTGCTCACATTTGTTTTATTCATATGATTTGTTTATATTTTTTGTTCTTGTCTTTTATTCTTTCCTTTCAGTCTGATATGTGCTCGTGTTGCTGTCATGTGTGTAGAAAACGCGTCCTAGTTCTATTAGGAGTGTCTTCTGTCTATGTAATAGAAAAGGGTGCTTGTGAGTGTAAATAAATACATATCTGGTGAATTATTTGTATAACATTCGTTTATTAAGTTAAATAAATGAGTATAAATAAAAAAAAAATTGTTCACTTAATAAACGAACGAACACGAATAAAAGTGTGTCCGTTCGTTTATATTCACGAACAAACTCGTTTATAAGCTTGTTTATCAAATTGTTTATGAGCTCATTTATCGAATAGTTTATTTATGTTAATGAACAAACTCGTTTACCCGGTTCTCATTTTCTCTTTTTACATTTTAAATATTAGTGAAGGTAGAGATTAAATTGAATAAATTTAAATTGTGAATTTTAAGGAGTTTAAGCACTAGTGGTGTATATTGAACACACGATAAACGAACACTAATCAAACACTAAACGAACATATAAACAAACATATTCGCGAACAATAAATAAAATGAACATGTACAACCTCAAAAATAAATAAACACAAACATGATATTAAAATTTTAAATGAACATGAACCGAACACGAACATTTTCAAAAATAAATAAACGAACACAACACGATATTAAAAATTTAAATGAACACGAGACGAACACAAACACTTAAAAAATAAATAAACGAACACAAACACGATATTAAAAATTTAAATAAACACTAGCCGAACACGAACACTTTAAAAAAAAATAAACGAACACGAATACAATATTAAAAATTTAAACGAATACGAACATTATCTTATTCGTTTAAACTCGGTTCTAAAGGTGCCATATTGAAGAATAATCTGCAGTAGATATTAGGATAGAAAACTATTTTTTTATGAAACATATTCGAGTAAAACGTCGGTACACATGGTTGATTCCAAAGAGGTACTCTTGGGCTTCGTCCGGCCGGTCACAAAATCTGGCGGTTCCTCCGTCATTGAGGTTGTGCTGTATGGCCAGTGTTTTGGGCGAAGCTTCTACACCATATTCCCCGATTCACAAATTTTCATTTTTATTATTGAAAGTATTTTTCATCAGTTCAAATAATTATACATTATCGATTACATCCTTCACACTCAACACCGTGTTTAAATAAAAAGAATAGGAAGGGGAATGAGATCCTATCAGCAGTTGGAAAAAAAGGTGGTACGAGTTTTGGGACCACAGTCCATAATAATTGTGATCCTCATCCTCATTTAAATATATCCTTTGGGGGACCTGACGTTCATAATCAATTCAACCTTCTCAAATTTGGACTTATCAAAGTATCAAACTTCTCAACTACTACTAATTGTTTAATTGTTTTACTCCTCTACGCATTGATCCAGAAAGAGACAACAAGAGTTTAGATCTATTTCATCATAATTAAATCCATAATTAAGATATGCTTAAGGTTATTCTTTAATAGTTTGAGATGATTATAAATAGTATTTATTCATAATTTTTTCAACTAATAATAACGTAACATTCTTTAAACATAACTGCTCAAATTTTAAAATAAAATTGAAGAAATAATATATTTTATCACGGATTAATCTTTTTAAGGATGGTTTACATATTCTGAACATATAAAGCATAGTTAGTATATATTATAATCACCTGAAAGTGAAAAAGGACAGTTGTATGAGTGAAGTCATTAGAGGAATGATGATTGATGTGAGTTGATGAATAAATAAAGATAAAGGCAAGTTTACTTCTCAATCATGCATCATTTACGTACTGAATGAAGTCAATCATTTAAATAATTTACTCAAACAAAATTAATCTCACACTCTCTTATCTCATATCTGCGGGGGAGAGGGAAAAGATGAAGAACCGCCAATATTTGGTTAACAGTAATGAAAATTCTTACTTCTCGTCTCCATCCGGTAGCATATTGATATCGGCACTCGGACTGCAAAAACCTTTCTCACCTCTGCATTACAACATTAAAAATTGATCAGAATCTGCGTTGAAACCTAATGTAATCGTGTGTTGATTTTTGAAAAGAAAGTTGGGTTTTCACCGTACATGTAAATGTCAACTTTCTGTTCAAGATTCTTCTTGCATGTGTGACAAAAGCTAAGGAAACTCCCGGGGTGTAGGCTTGGGTTCATTATCCGGTACACTAAAGTAGCTTTCCACGACGCAGTTATCGAATATATGTGTGGTTCTGGGATTAGGACCGTGAGATATCACGCATGTATAATCCTCAGACAGCTCCATCTCAGTAACGGGAAGATCCTTCGTATAGATACCAGAACCAGGGTAACCGAATGTTGGCGATAAATATGAATTCCTGGTCTTGATTCCAAAATCAGTAGGTGGGAGTGGAGGAATCTGGACTCTGGGTTCCGTCCCAAACAAGACCTTTCTTTTGTTTGGCTCGCAAGAACCGTTGTCTTCACTCTGTTATCGTTGTTGTATGTATTGAGTATAGCAAGACCAATACCTTTTTGGTTCTGGATTTCCAGGTGAGAAAAGTTTGGGGGATTTTGGACGGGTTAAGGCAAAGGGATTACGAAAGGGAAAAAAGGGTTTGTCGAGGATTGAAGTAGGGCTCTTGATAGCTTCGGTTTCAGGGAGGGATTTTGAAGTGAAAGCTCTGATCTGGGAGAATCGAAGAAAGATGGGATTGGGTTAGTGTAATTCTGGCAGGGGATGCTTGAGAGCTGTGATCAGCCATTAAAGCTTGCTTGCTGGTCACTGCTCTGGACCTATTCCTCAGCATACTAAGCTTATAATCAGAATCAGACACCCCAAGTTCTAACATGAAACAACTGCACAAACAAGCCAAGAATCAGATTAATTAAGAACCAAGGAAAGAGTTGGAAAGTCGACGAAAAGGCAAGAACTCACCTGGAAATGAATGTCACATCACCATGGACGGAAGAAAAAATCAAGTTTTGTTTTAATGTTGAGAAACAAAGGTTTCTAGAAAATAGGAGATGAATATTATTAATTGATTTTCAAAGAGTACACACTGTTATAGCTCACACTCAAGTCTAACTGTTATTAACAACTATGATAACAATTATAACAAATAGCCATAACATCCTCCACAGATCAGCTTACTAACATTTTTCCTACTTTTTCCTTCTCCCCCGAGAATCGACTAGACATTGACCTTTGCGCGAAAAAACTTCAAATTATGTTGTAGACAAGCTTGGTCAACCCATCAGCTACTTGATGACTAGCAGGAACATAGTTAACTACATCTGTTGACTGTAACTTTTTCACGGATAAAATGAACATCACGCTCCACATGCTTTGTCCTAGCATGATAAATTTGGATTTGTAATTATAGCTACTGCACTATTGTCACACCACACCACATGAGTCTTTGACTGCTTAACCCATATCCAAGAGAAGAGCACACACCATGTTGTCTCCACAGTAACATCAACAACACTTCTATATTCTACCTCCATGGTGGATCTTGAAACAACTTCTGCTTTTTATAACTCCACATAACCAATTATCACCCACAAAAACACAGTTACCTAATATAGATTTTCGATCATCTGTATTTCCGCCCAATTAGTGTCAGCAAAAGCAACAACATGCAGACCTGCACATCTGAGACTATAGCCAGACCATGATTAAGCATGCCAACCAACTATCATAAATCCTTTAACTGCAACAAGATGACTTTGCCTGGTGTATGCATGTATGCGCTACCTTGTAATGTTAAACAAATATGGATGTATGACAGGCATAGAGAAGCGCCCCAACAATACTGCGATATTTATAAGCATCAGGAAACAGATTCCTCCCATCCTGTGTAAGCTTCGATGTGCCAGCATGGGTGTGGATGCAGACCATTGTTCATCTTTGTCTTCATTAACAACTCCAAGATAAACTTATGTTGACTGAGAATTAACGTCTCACCATCTCTTAACCTCGATGCCAAGGAAAAAGCTAAGCTCTCCAAGGTTTTTTTAAAGTAAACTTATCGCCCAACAGTTTACGACCTCTTCAATTTGCGCATTGAGTCTCCTGTTACCACTATATCATCCACATAAACCAACATGTACAAATACTGCCCTCTAACACAACGAACAAATAAGAAGTATATGCCTTAGACTCCTTAATCCTATTCGATAAAGCACTGTTTTAACTTGACATGCCAACCTGAGGCCCCTATCTCAAAGTCTCCTGTTACCACTATATCATCCACATAAACCAACATGTACAAATACTGCCCTCTAACACAACGAACAAATAAGAAGTATATGCCTTAGACTCCTTAAATCCTATTCGAATAAAGCACTGTTTTAACTTGACATGCCAACTCTGCGCATTTGAGTCTCCTGTTACCACTATATCATCCACATAAACCACATGTACAAATACCGCCCTCTAACAACGAACAATAAGAAGTATATGCCTTAGACTCCTTAAATCCTATTCGAATCAAGCACTATTTTAACTTGACATGCCAACTCTGAGCCCCTATCTCAAGCCATACAAGGCCTTTTAAGTTTATACTAGTTGAGTACCATCCGAGCCCTTTGTCAAACCCAGTGGTTGCTGCATGAACACATCTTCATGCAAATCTCCA